TTCCTTGTATCCCAAGAATCTCAAAGGGCTTTTATCATGAATGGGTGTTACACTTTGTCAAAAGCTTTCTCGGCATCTATTGATATTATCATATGGTTTTTATATTTCTTTTTGTTGATGTGTTGGATGACGTTGATTGATTTTCGGATGTTGAACCATCCTTGTGTCCCTGGAATGAATCCTACTTGGTCACAATGAATTATCTTATGGGTACATTGTTGGATTCTGATCGCTAAAATTTTATTGAGGATTTTTGCATCCGTGTTCATGAGAGAGATTTTCCTGTAGTTTTCTTTTTTTGTGTTGTCCTTGTTTGGTTTTGGTATTAGTGTAATGTTGGCTTCATAGAACGTGTTTGGTATTATACCTTCCTTCTCAATTTTTTGGAAGAGTTTGTGAAGGATAGGCACTAATTCATTTCTGAATGCTTGGTACAAAGAAATGGAAAGACATCCCCTGCTCATGGATTGGAAGAATAAACATTATTAAAATGGCCATCCTACCAAAAGCAATATACAGATTCAATGCTATTCCAATAAAAATTTCAATGTCATTCTTTAAAGAAATAGAACAATTACTGATGAAATTCATATGGAACCACAAAAAACCCCAAATAGCCAAAGCTTTCCTGAAAAAAAAAAAAAAGAAGGGAATGGAGGCATCACACTCCCAGACTTCAAACTATACTACAAAGCCATAATCATCAAAACTGCATGGTATTGGAACAAGAACAGACACAAAGACCAATGGAATCAAATAGAAAATCCAGAAATAAACCCACAGATTTATGGTCAACTAATCTTTGACAAAGGAGCAAAGAATATGCATTGGAGCAAAGAAAGTTTGTTTAATAAATGGTGCTGGGAAAGCTGGGTCGCTACATGCAAAAGAATGAAGCTTGACCACTACCTCACACCATACACAAAAATCAACTCAAAATGGATTAAAGAACTAGACATAAGACCTGAAACCATAAAATACATAGAAGGAAACATAGGTGAAACACTACATGATATGTACCTCAAAGACATATTTACAGACACATCACCCAAAGCAGTGATAGTGAAGGCAAAGATAAACAGCTGGGACTACATCAAATTAAAGAGCTTCTGCATAGCAAAGGAGACAATAACCAAAACAAAGAGAAACCCCACCAACTGGGAGAACATTTTTGTACATAACACGAATGATAAAGGACTGATCACAGAAATCTACAAAGAGCTGATGAGACTCAGCAACAACAAAGAAAATAATCCAGTCAAAAAATGGGCAGAAGAGCTAAAAAGAAACTTCTCTGAAGAGGAAATGCAAATGGCCAACAGGCATATGAAAAAATATTCAAGATCACTTGTAATCAGGGAAATGCAAATCAAAACTACCATGAGATAACATCTTACACCAGTGAGAATGGCACATATTAAAAAAACTAACAACAACAAATGTTGGTGAGGTTGTGGAGAAAAAGGAACTCTCCTGCACTGTTGGTGGGAGTGCAAACTGGTACAACCACTGTGGAGAGCTGTGTGGAGATTTCTTGACCTACTAAACATAGAGCTTCCATATTATCCAGCAATTCCATCCTAGGTATTTACCCAAAGGACACAGAAACATCCATTCCAAAGAGCACCTGCACCCCTATGTTTGTAGCAGCACTATTTACAATAGCTAAGCTATGGAAACAACCCAAATGCCCAAAAATAGATGACTGGATCAAGAAGATGTGGTACATATTCACAATGGAATATTACTCAGCATTCAAAAAAGATAAACACGTGCAATTTGCAGCAACATGGATGGAGCTAGAAGAGATCATGCTCAGCGAAATAAGTCAGAAAGAAAAAGAAAAATATCGGATGGTCTCACTCATAGCAGGAATTTAGAAACCTAAATAAGAGACCAGGAAATAGACTAATCAATACAAAGTAATAACCAAAATCAATAAGCAACTATAAACCAGAGACACACTATAGGGGTGGGGGGAGGGAGGAGCAGGAAGAAAAAGAACTAGAGTCAAAATAAGAGGAGGGTGCAATTGTATGGGGAATATAACCAAAATGAAAATGCATACATTGTGCAAAGATGAAAAATGATGTAAGAATTATATAAAATAAAGTATTAAAAAAAAGAAAAAAGTAAAGCATGAAATTCTGTAAAGATAAATGGATCAATGAGATGTACCAAGATGACATATAATAAAAAAGTTTTTGATTGCTCAAAAAAAAAAGAAGTAATTCATTTAAAGACAGATAACAATTGCACAAAGGAATGAACCCTCCTGACTAGAACACCACCTCAGTGCCCTTTCTTCCCTAGGAAGATACAGCTCTGCTCCCAAGGCTGCCATCTGGGGCCTGCAGGCTTCTCCTAACACACCTGCCCTCTCCAGGGGCAGCTCTTCCTGCCTGCTGGGGTCTGCACAAGCATCTTCTTCTTTCCTTTTGTGTGTGGGGGTTGGGGGCAGAGTGTGGGGTGTGGACACGCACACCACTGAAAGGAGGACTTTGATGAAACTTTTCTTCTAAGAGGTGACCCAAGAAGCCCCATCTGTGAACCCACGACCTCCCCAAAACATTACTCCTCACCAAAGTCAGTGTTTCAAAAAATGACGAAAGTCTGAGAAACTGTCATCCAGGCAAACTGTATGCGATTATGGAGCATAAAATGGACATTAGCAAAAACTAATGAAAGTATGGCATTTAGTAATTATGTCAACGTTGCTTCATTAGTTGTAAAAAAAAAAAAACAACTTTACTCATATAGAATGTTAACAAAATAGAAATGCTGTGGGATAAACAAGAACTGTGCTACCTTTGCAACTTTTCCGTGAGACTCACAGTATTCTTTAAATGTTATTATTTAAAAAGATTTATTTATTTATGCATACAAGAACTGGGGTACAGGCCAGAGGTGTGGGGGATAAGAGGATTCACCAGAGACGGAGTGGGGAGCAGAACAGGCAAACTGACTGAAACACACTGCTGAGGGGAGCAGTGGCGAGTCAGTAGAGGTCTTCTGCGCCATGTTGGTAGGTCCCTGGCTGGGGATCGAACTTGTGCTGCAGTGGCTGAGGGTAGCTTCATAAGTTGCGCCTTAACCCCTTGTGCCACCAGGGAGGCCCTAAATGTTATTTTTTTTTTAAATGCCCTCCAAATTTTATAGGTTGTATAAGGAAAAAAATCTGTCTAATTTCCAGTTATCCAGCTTTTCTGGATAACCTCACACACAGGGCAGGCTTCAGGGTCACCTCTCCTCTGAGCCCTACTTCTCTGGCTCCTCACAGAGCATCTCACCCCAGGACGCCGCCCTCCAGGACCCCCAACTCTGCCCACCTCAGGCCCCGCCCCGTCCTGGCGGCTCCACCAGAATCCGGGACAGCGCGGCAGCGCCCCCGTGTGGCCACAGGGCTGAGCACAGGAGCCCAGAGCTGCCCTTTCTCCTGCTCAGCCAGGCCCTCCCCAGGCTCCCTGGGCCCCCAGCGGCAGGACAGGGATCTGCACACAAGGGGGCGCCCAAGTCCTGTGTCAGTTTATCCTTACTTTTAGTTTCCAGTGGTCTCCGGGACATAACAACTGGTTCCTAGGTCCTGGGCGAATCCCAAATATATAGGTCGCCTCAGTCTCTTGGGATGGAAACTTAGATCCCAGGGTCCCTGTAATTTGTTTCTGCTTCTGCTTCCAAGGACAAAAGCCCCTCCTGGGAATCACCTCACATTCTCCACCCTTTGGAGGAGGGGAGGGGCCTAGGAGAGCCCCAGGGCACTGGTTAGGAAGATGGGGAGACTCCTGGAAAAGAGAGCAGAAGATGGAAATGGGGACTTTAGGAGACAGAGGTGGAAAGGGGTGCAGTGGGGAGCCAGAGAGGACCGGGCAGGGAAGGGGTAGCATAGGGGACTCTGTGGGGGGAAGGTCTGTGTGGGTGACACGGGTTCTCACTGGGGGGCTGGAGCTTCTGTCTCACCTGGGGGATGCAGCAGTGCTGGCCTGTGACTGCCCAGGGAACTGCGCATATCCGGGCCCTGGCCTGTCCTTGCAGGGCTGGTGTCACCCACACACACACACATGCCGGTGACAGAGAGGACTGTAAGGGGGTGGGGGGATGTCCCCAGGGGAAGATCCAAGTTCCCTGACCCACCCGTCAGGGTGGAGCTGAGCAGGGAGAAGAAGCTGGAGAGGAGACTGGAGAAGGAAGGAAGCAGGATGAGCCAGTAGACCTGGAGGAGGCACATGGATCAGAGAGACACGTGAACAACTTGCACTTACTTCTTGGCCTTGGACTGGGTGGCACAGATGTGGGTGAGAGACCTGTGGGGAGATTACAATGGCAGCTTCTCTCTTGATTTTGCTCTTTTCTTCCAGACTTGTCAGCCGCGTCCACCCCTTTACTATGGGTCCCCGCCAGGAGGTGCGTTAGGTGGCAGGCATTCAGGCCCTGCTTGGCCAACCCTATTGGCTGAATATTACCCACAAGGGGACGGGTGACTTTGAATGTTTGATTTGGAAACTTTATTCTTTCCTTTTTCTTTGTTGCACACTAATTGTATTAAAGTTCCTTTCCATTAAAGGTCTTACATGTTTTGTCTTGATGCAGCAGATGGCAAAATATGAGGGAGATAGATGGTTAAGGGGTGTCCTTAACCCCTCCTTACCAAGGACATCACCCTCAGTTACCCAATGCTGGGGTGTCAGGAGATTCAGGGGGGCCAAGAGGAGGGCAGAGCAAGGCCTGAGCCGCCCTGGAGGACCAGCCCCGGAGGCTGATTCTGGGACTCCAGGACCCCACTCCCTGCAGGCGGGTCAGAGTCAGCCCTGCTCACAGCTCCAGGCCACTGACAACTCCTCTGTGCTATGACCCTGCAGACACCACTTGGTATAGCGTGAAGAAAAAATAATGAACAGCAAAATTAAATGTAATATGTAAATTAAATTAAAGGTAGAAATAATTTTTTAAAATCATGTTTATTTTGAAAGACACTTCAAGGGACATGGAATCCTTGTCTGACAGCTCACTGTTATCACGACCTTGACTGTGACGGAGTTACTCTGGCGCACCTGTTTATTGTGAGAAAACAGCCACTGATGAATTTATTGCCTTAATTTATTAGTGGATTGTACAAAATCACTTCCTACTTTGCACCTAAAACAAAGACCTGGCATCTGGCTATGCATTCCACCCACCAGACAACTCTATCTGGCCTCGCGAGGTGGCATGAGAGGTGACCAGGCTCTCCTTCAGTCCCTTGGGAGGTGCTGAACTAGAACCAGGGAGCCAAAAAAGTTCTGGTAGTTTCCCAGAGAAATCAGAGGGCACTCAGAGAGGTGGAGAGAGAGACTTAATTATCACACCGGTGGGCTCAGTGGGATTGCTCCCCAAAGAGCTGAGTACCCAGGAAAAACAATGGCAAGGTTTTATACAGTTTGTATGAGAAACTTGCTATCCCAGCTATCATGACATAAGTGTTCTTTATTGTTCGGGAAGGGGGTTCAAGGGTGTCATGGCTACCACTTCAGACAAGCAGTGAGTACACCCAGCAACCTCTCCACTCCAGCAAGCAGCAGAACCAAAGTTGTAGACTCCCCCAAGTAGCAGATTTGGGAAGGCAACAGAAACTAAGCACCAGACTCCCCCAAGCAGGAGGTTTGGGAAACATCCTGCTTCAGGTTATCATTGTGTTATAAATCAGGGGATCCTGAATGGATCAAGAAGTTGTGGTACATACACACAGTGGAATTCTACTCAGTGATCAAAAACAGAAACTTATGTCATTTGGGAAATATGGATGGGGTTGGAAGGGATAATAAGCTTGATAAGTCAGAAGGAAAAAATAAATATCAGATGGTTTCCCTTATATGTGGGATATACAGAAATCAAACAGAGGGTCAGAATAAAGACAAAATTTGCAAATTGATCCTAGATCTGAGGCATATAGCAGGGGAAAGGGAGAGAGATGGTTCCAAACAGGGGAGGGAAGAGCATGAGGGACTGTAGTGATGGATCATGGGTGCTATGGTGGTGAGAGAACTATAAGGACTACACCTGAGAGGGAAATCAAATATTATACAAAAATTAACGATGATGTAAGAGAACAAATAAATAGATTTAATAAAATAATTTATATCAATCACTGATCGCTAGAAAACAAATAAAATTAAATAAAGCAGAGGATCCTGAAGTTACAAAATGGGGGTGAGAGAAATCCTATAACATTCAGTCCCACACAAGACAGAACACTCATTCTATGATAAAAAATAATATTGAAGAAATTCAGGTGAGTTACATTAAGTGATAACATTCTCAATAGTCCACTGCATCCTAAGAGTGTCCCAATCACAGCTCCCCAGAACCTGGCCCCATCTTCTGGTGTGTCCCAGGGGGTGAGAGACATCCCAGAGTCCTGAGGACTGTTGCTGCCTGAGACCTGGCCAGAGCCCAGAGATGAGACCCTCAGAGGAACTGATGAGGGTGACTCTCCCTAGAGTTCCCTCTACGCTGTCTGCAGGGGCTCAGGACCCAACCCCTGATCCACACTTACCTGCAGCCTGACTGTAGATGATTGCTTGTCCCCCTGTGGAAAGAAACCTCATGTGAGACAAGGGAGGAGTCAGCCCATGGAGCCCTAAAGGAATCCCCAAGTCTAGGTCAGAGGGAAGTTCCTAGAACTGTGACTGAAGACCCAGGTCAGGACTGGGATTTATGAAGAATGCATATGGAAGGGAATTGCAGTTTTTCCACAGCACGGTCCTTCCCCTATGACATTTACTGGGAAAGAGATCCCCATCACCATAGTTATAAGGTGAACAGTTTGTGATTCATTTTCATAAGTGCTTTACAAAGAGTGAGTGTTCACAATCAGCTCCAGACTGGGCAACACATGTGTGTGGATCAGACTCTCTACTAACCAGGAAGGAAGGGCAAGTTCTCCCTGGGACATGAAAGCCCCCAGTGGACAAGACCCTCTACTCCCTTCCTTACCTGAGCGCCTCTTCCTCCACATCACAGCTGCAGCCACTGCAGCTCCAATGAGCACAGCTCCAAGGAGAACCAGGCCAACAATGAGGCCCACATTGGAATCGGTGGAGTTGGTAGAGACCGTGGGCTGAGGAGGGGGCACTGGAAGGGACGGGAACAGGAGACCCTGAGCCCCAGGCCTCATCCCAGGTCAGGATGAGGAGCCTCCAGAAGGGCTCCTGATGTCCCTGAGAAGCTCTGTGCTCACGTTCCCGCCTTACCCCAAATCAGAACTCGGGGCTCCAGCAGCCCCTCATGCTGCACACGGCATGTGTATCTCTGCTCCTCTCCAGAAGGCACCACCACAGCCGCCCACTTCTGGAAGGTTCCATCCCCCCCAGGCCTGGTCTCCACCAGCTTTGTGTCCTGGGTCAGGTTCTCCCCATCTCGCTGCCAGGTCAGGGTGATGTCCGCAGGGTAGAAGCCCAGGGCCCAACACTTCAGGGTGACCTCACGCTCAGAGGTGGGGTGGAAGGTCACGTGTGTCTTTGGGGGATCTGAGGAGAAGGGACAAAAAATTCACACTTTGGGTTTTTCCTTCCTGACACTGAAGCAGCCTCACTGACCATCCTCAGAATGGACATGACAATTGGTTTGGAGGGAGGAAGCACAAACCCCAGAAACCAGCCTAGTCTGGGGAATCTGGGATAATCAGGTGAGAGCCCAGGGTAGGAGGATGCAGGTCTCTGAGGAGAACACAGACTTTTGCTCCTGACTGGGTGGAGGGTGAATGACACAGAAAGGCAGGAGTCAGATCCAGAACTGTTCTCAGACCAAAAACAAGACCTTGAAGAGAAACTCATGGTTCCCAGGATGGCTGCCGGGTCACTAGGATCCAAGGAGAGTGATTTCAGGATGGCCTCCCTCCCTCAGGAGAGACTGGATTCCTTAACTGTCCAGAAAAGTGGTGTCTTCTGGGCGAGTCTCTCTCTAGCACAGAACATGAGCCCAGGGGACTCTCCCTCTCTGCCCAGAAAGCAGGTGCTGTTCTGCCCATTATTCCATTTTCCCTGCAGGGCGCCAGGAGAGGGGAGGTTCGAGGCCTTGTGGCCCCTCTTACCTGTGCGCTGTAGCACCTCCTTCCCCCAAACCAGGAATTTGAGGAGCCACTGGAAGCACCTGCTCTGTTTAATGTTCCTGACGCGCTCGGCCCTCCCCTGTGCCTCCCACTCGCGCTGGGTGATCTGAGCCTCCAAGTCCGCGGGGGTCCAGGAGCGCAGGTCCTCGCTCAGGGAGATGAAATCCGCGCCATCGTAGGCGAACTTTTCATACCCGCCGCGGAGACGCAGGTCTGGCCCCACTTCACAGCCACACATGCTCTGGAGGGTGTGAGACCCTGAGCCCCACCCAGCGGTCAGCCCGGAGATCACACCCCAATAACCGCCCCCCTCACCCTGAATAAACTTAAACTGAAGGGCCAGCAGGACAGTCCCTTCCCGGGGGAGGGGCCTGGCAGATCCACCAGCCTGGAGGGGCCAGTGGACCCTGAGACTCGGGACACCCCGGCCTGAGGGTGGGAATGGGGGTGACCTGACCCTGGCCCCGCTCCGCGAAGCTCACCGTCCTCGCTCTGGTTGTAGCGGCCGCGCAGGTCCCTCAGGAGCGCTTGGAACCACTGTGCGCTGTTCCTTTGGATCCGAGTCTCCTCGTCCAGGTCCTCCTGCCCCACCTGCCCCGCCCAGGGCGCCCGCGGCTCCACACTCTGGCCCGGAGAGCTGATGTCGAACCGCCCGAACTGCGTGTCGTCCACGTAGCACACGGCGATGTAGCGGTAGTCCCCATTGCCATTGCCGTTGCCGTTGCCTTTGCAGTTGCCATTGCCGGGGCACGATATCGCGGTGGAGAAACACCTCAGGGAGTGGGAACCTGGGGGCGGGAGGGAGACCCGGGCTGACCCTCCTCTCAGCGCGGGCCCAGGGCCCAGGGAGATGGGCATGGAGGGGAGAAAGGGGCGGGGCCGTGAGAGTGAAAAGGGGGGTGGGCCAAGAAGGGCCCAGACTCAGGGGCCCAGAGCACTCAGGGGAGGCGGGAGGGACAGAAGGGGCCAGAACACAACGGGCCTGAAGGGGAACAAGAGTTTGGGGGGAGATGAGCCTTTCCTGGGGTCCTGCACCCGCAGGGGGCTCCTTGCTCCTCCCTCCTGGAGCAACAGTGTCCAGCTGGACACGCACTCACCCGCCAGGGTCTCCATCAGGGCCAGGGGCCCCCAGAGCAGCAGCAGGAGGGTGAGGGGCATCACAACCACATCCAGGGGCCTGGGGAGAAGGAGTCCAGGAGGGTCCTTGGAGACTGTAACTGGAGCAGGATGATGCTGATTGTCTTCCCTGGAAACCCCCAGGAAAAGGGGAGAGAGAATGGGGGTGAGTGTGGGGTCATCAAGGCTGCACCACCCCACAGAGCCTGTGAGAGGGAGACATGATGCTGTGACAGGGTGACATCCACAGAAAGGGGAGGCCCCAAATTCCCTTCCTCACCTTAGGGAGGAGTGGATTTGGGCTGGGAGAAGCAGCAGCCGGGAGGAATGAAGAAGCTAGTAGTGTTTTCTGATAAATGTGAATATTGATACTAAATTAAATCTGCACAGGTGGCACTTTCTGGAAAGTTATTTGCTAAGTGAAACCTGAAATAATATCAGGGACTATTTCCTATTCTGTTTCCTTCCATAGGCCTCTCTTGCATATTGCTTGGAACTTGTGCTAATGTATGATTTTTTTTTTAAACAAATTTATTCTTTTTTTTTTTAAAAAAAAGATTTATTTATTTATTCACACAAGCACTGGGTACAGTCAGAAGCGCGGGAGGGTGAGAGAATTCACCAGAGCCAGAGCAGGGAGCAGAGCAGGCAGAAGGACTGAAGTACACTGCTGACGGGAGCAGCGGGCAGCAGGAGAGGTCTGCGTGCTGTGTGGACCCCTAGCCCGGCGGCCGGGGAGCAGCCGGGGATAGAACTGGCACTGCAGAGGCTGCGGGCAGCTTCGCAACCCAGCGCTGAACCGCTGCGCCACCGGGGAGGCCCTAATGTATGATGTTTTAAGGTGATACATTGTTTCACTAAGTTACATAGATTTTTAGTGTTAATTACACTGGAATCAAATGATCAAAAAATGTTTTATTTTTTAATCATAATCCCAAAAGAAAAATTCATACTATAAATTGTCAAGTAGTGATGCACTCAATTTTTCATAATTCTGGTTTTCTCTGAGAGCTTTTATTTTATCAGGCAAAGTTACTGTCATTGCTAATTGTTGATTTTCTTCAAGAAACAGACACTCATTTTGAGGAAAGTATCTTCTAATTACCCAAATTTAAATAACCTTAGTTTGTGTCATTCATCCCTTCAGTTAAGATTGGTGTTGCCCACAAATAAAGAGTCTAATTCATCTCATACAAATATTTTCCTCGGGACTCAGGGCTTGGGATGCTGCAGAAGTGCTCTGTGTGTCCTTCTAGGTCAGCACACCAGATATTTTTAAATGTGGAGTTGAGGATGACACAATAATGAAGATAACTTTTAATGCTTTTTTTCAGGACATTTTCAAGTGAAACTGGCTTTGATTTTTGTTCCTGCAGGTAAGTGCTGGTGAAGAATTACTGCTTCTGCAGTGGTACTATAAGCTCCACTCTTACTGAATTTTACCTCAGCAAATGCCAAATAGTGAAAAGACAATTGTGTCTAAATGATGTTTTGAAACTAGTTTTACCTCATGGATCCCATGAAAGGTTCTGGGTGACTTCAAGGGCTTCACAGACCACACTTTGAGAAATGCTTTTCTCAGGAAACCAGGGAGCATCTCCCAAGTGTTCTCTGCCTTTGCCTCCTCTTCACTTCCCAGCATCCCTCTCCCTGGCTGGCTCCTGCCTCCCCAAGCTGCCTCCCCTTCAGATACAATGGGGAGCAGAGAGAGGACCCTGGAGACATGGAGCTTGCACTGTCGTGAGAGTTGGACACTGAGTAAAGGTGACAAAGACACGTGTAAACCCGACCTGAACCCCGTGCTGGGAGGAAGGAGCGAGTTTATTGTGAAAGCAGAGAAGCTGGAGCCCTAGCAGATCCCTACCACTGTTGTCAATAGTATCAAAAGTATCAAAAAATCAGTATCAGTAGTATCAAAAATATATATTAAAACAAATTAAGCATAAGGAAAAGATTTTATCTCTTCCCATAACTGTCACTTCTGCCCCCTGACACACTTGCTCTAGCCCCATAGACCAGCCTGCCCCCTCTTCCTCAGCCCCCCTCCACGTCCTGCCCCAAGACCCAGGCACACTGAGGAGGCCTATAGCCTAATCTACCTCCTGGTCCTGGTCCCATCCTCACACTCATCTGCTCTTCCCTCATTTATTGTGCTCTGAAGGACAGGCCTCCCCAGGTCTTCAGAAAGGTATCCCCAAGATAGGCCACTTTGACATGTGAATTATTTCCATCTGAGGTTCATCGGGGTTCATCTTAAGAAACGGTTACCACTTCTATAACTACCTAGTATGAAAATGGGTGGTCTTACCCAAAATGAGGGTTATTACCAGAAAGAGCTTTGTATCCAAGAAACCTACTATATGTCAGGGCAAACATAGAATATCAGATCTTTGTCATGAGTCACCCTGTCCTTGCCATGTGATCCCCTCCTCTCTCCTAGCGTGCTAGGCCCCTGTCTCACTCCTTAGCTCAGGAGACACAACCTCGGTTCCCACACGGATTTCAGACACTTATTTTGATGTAAGTGTACCCTTTGCATTATGGGTAAATTTGGTTACTTTCTAGAAGTAAAAACAAAGGAAAGAGAAAAAAAAAAGATGTTATGAAAGTTCAGGTGCTCAAAATAAGAGTTCTTGAAAATCAGAGATTTAATCATAGAAATGAATAAATCAGTAGGTGAACTGGAATATTAAAGTCTCACTAAATAATGTAAATGGAAAGGAAATGACAAGCAGAGAGAAGACCTACAAGAAACTGACTCTATCAACCAGGAGATTCCAACTAGTGAATACAAGTGTCCAAGTGTCTAAAAGAATGGAGAGTGGAAATGATGAAAAAATTTAACAAAATCCCTGAGCACTCACATATAAAATGTGCACGCTGAGTGTCCTACCCGGGTTACTCCTACAGAGGATGAGCAGCCCCACACCATGACCCGCCCCAGGGACTTTCAGAAAGAGGCTGGAGAAGGACAGACCTTGGGGCCCTCAAGAGGCAACTCAGGCCTGGAGGCCAGAAGACCCTGGAGCCAGGCCTGCCCAGTCCTCAGGGGAATCCAGCCCAGACCCCATGTCAGGCCCAGGTGAGGGAGGTTCTGGGGACACAGACATTCACTTCAGCTGTGTGTGGTCTCAGGGGTTATTGTCCACATCCCTCCTCTAGTGGGCAAAGGACACTGGTGGGCAGAGGGGAACAAAGATGATGGACACAGAGACCAGGACACAGGAAAATCAGCCACAGGGGTGGGGACAGGAGAGAGGCCAAGGGTGAGATGAAGGATCCGGGCCTTTAACTCTGCCCAGGTGAGCAGGACCCAGGCCCGGGAGGCAGGACTGAGGCTGTGGGACAGGGGTCTGCCCAGGATGAAGCGGGCAGAATAGCTGGTGTGTGTGATATGTCCATGAAGATTCTGACTCTGGGGTGGTCTTGGGGGTGATTAGGAATGAGCACAACAGGAACTAAGCAAGTGAGGGAACAAGATAATTATAACTTCAGGGCCAGTAAAAAATCAATCCAAGAAGGAAAAGCATCCTGGTCTACTCACTGCTCAGCTGTGACTGGCTCTCACAAGGTCATAATGATGCAAACCCTGGATCCTGGGGTATATCTCAACAACCTGCCAGAGGGGCCCTTGGGGGGCAAATGCCTGTGCTGTGGATTCCAAAGTGGCCACCTTCCAGGCCTCCTTGCCACTCAGAGCCAGCTCTCAAGGCCTGGGCAAGAGGCCTGGCAGTGTGGGCAGGGACTTCTCCAAGATGCTTGTTGAAACTTCAATGTGAAGGAGCAAAGAGCAGGGCAACATTAGGGTCCCTACAAAGGCTGCCGGGAAGGCAGTGACAAGCCTCCCTGGGGAGGAGGCTGTAGCTGTTCACCCAAGAGCTAAAGCACAAAGGAGGAAGCAAGTCACCAGGCCCTTCAGAACATACCCCACATGCTCTGTGGTGCACAAGCCCTGACACAGGAGACAGCTTTTCTGAAAGAACACATGATTCTGGTCAAGGAACACGTTAAAAAATTCTAACAGGGGCCTCCTCTGGTGGTGCAGCGGTTGAGCGCTGCGCTGTGAAGCTGTCCGCAGCCTCTGCAGCGCTGGTTTGATCCCAGGCCACAGGGGAGGGTCCCACAAATAAAATAAAATAAAATAAAATAAAATAAAATAAATTCTAACAGGACACAACTCAATCGATGCAGGTGTCGGTAGAGAGGAACCAGGACAAATCCAGAGAGCAGCTGCTGTAGAACCTCCAAGAAGCAGACTTGTGAGCATGTTGGGAGCTGGCACTGAGAGAGACACTGAAAACTCAGAGCCTTGATTTCTGCCAGGCTGACAGCCTCACAGAACAGCTTTGTGGTGGTCTCCATCCTCCAGGTAACTCAGAAAAATGGGTGCCCTCAGAGGCTTGAAGGACAGGCTGGAGGCTTTGACTTGCCCCCAGAGTGTGGCCACATTTACCCCTCAGTCTATGGTATTTTATGAACATTTTCGAGCACACAGAATAATTGAAATAATAGTGCAGAGCACACCTCCTAGATCCCAGCATTAGCATTCGCTACATTTGCTTTATCACTCATCTTTATGCAAGGCTCCATCTCTCTATTCATCCATCTTATCTTTCTGATGCATTTCAAAGTTAGATGCAGATGTCACTACCTATCTTTCTTTGATTTTTTTTTAAAGATTTGTTTTATTTATTTATGTATATAAGAGCTTGGGTGCAGGCCAGAGGTGTGTGGGTGAGAGGATTCAGCAGAGACAGAGTAGGGAGCAGAGCAAGTGGATCTACCAAAATACACTGCTGAGGGGAGCAATGGATGAAACAGGAGAGGTCTGCTGTGCCATGTGGGTCAGCTCCCTGGCCGGGGTGAGAACTCTTACTGCAATGGCTGCCAATAGCTTCACAGTGCTGAGACTTAACCCCTTGTGTCACTAGGGACTCCCCACATTTCATTTCTCAACACTTGGGTTAAGAATATTTTTTTGAGATAAAACTCTATCTGGGGAAATGCACAAATCTTAAGTATACTATTGGAGGAGTTTTGACCTTTGTCAAGAATATTATGATATATTATTATTTTCTGCTCTTGGAAACAATGAATATTTATATAATTTAATGATGTGTCTCACTTAACAATACAATTTATCTGCCCTCGCTCCTTTTGAGTAACTACCACAGTCCAATCTGAAGCCTCCCTGGCCCCTCCATTCTCAGCACGTACCTGTGACCACACTCTCCTTGGAACAGAGCCCAGACCTGAGTCATCTTCATAGTTATTTATTTTATTATATTTATTATGATAACTTTGATTTTTTCAACCATATTTGTGGGGAGTTTATAGGTGCAAAACTCCAAAATATATGTTATTGTCCCATGTAAACGTGATCTATCAATATATAATAGTCTATTCATCTTTGAACTTTCAACAAATAAGTTTATCTAACTCATCCTTTTCCTTTCATCCACAAGACTCTCAGTTAATCATAAGCAGCAGCTTAGCTGTTTTCAATACCTTCACAGCCATATATTGCCATTTATATCTATGGTAAATATTCTAATTATCAGTTTTATTAGAGAAACTTGTATTTATAGGCAATGTCTGAAGCATAATTTCATTAGAGCAATAGATGATCATTTCTTCTAGAAAAACAAATGTCTGAAGTTAGATGAAAGACAAGGAAATAGGGCACACCTAGTAGCTCAGGGGTTAAATCACAGCACTATCAAGCTATCACCAGCCACAACGGCATGAGTTTGATTCCCAGCCAGGGAGCTGGTCCACAAGGCACAGCAGACCTCTCCTGTCTCGCCTGCTGCCTCCCTCAGCAGACTATATTTCAGTAGATCTGCCTGTTCTGCTCCCCGCTCTGTATCCAGTGACACTTGTCATCCCCACACTTCTGGGCTATCCCAGTTCTTGTATGCATAAATAAATAAAAATACATCTTCAATAAAAAAGAAAGACAAGGAAATAATGATTTCACTTTATATGTATGAAGTCACCCAAATCACATCAATTCCTTTATATGAGTACTAGCTTAACATTATATAACAGGGCCTCCCCTGGTGGCGCAGCAGTTGAGCGCTGGACTGCGAAGCTGCGAAGCTGCCTGCAGCCTCTGCAGCGCCGGTTCGATCTCTGGTCACATGGTGCGACAGACCTCTCCTGCCACTCCCGCTGCTCCCCTCAACAGTGTATTTCATCAGTCTGCCTGTTCTGTTCCCTGCTCTGGCTCTGGTGAATCCTCTCACCCTCCCGCTCTTCTGACTGTACCGAGTGCTTGTATAAATAAATAAATCTTAAAAAAAAACTTTAAAAATATTATATAAAAAGTTATTAACAGAAAATACACAAGCCAGAAACCTTATAGCCTTAAACATCAAATCAACCATCAACTTTTCTTAATTTTCGAAGACATAAAAGTAAAAATCTTTTATATAACAACATGAAAATTCCATACCTTTGTAAAGTGGTGAAACCGTCCAATTATTTCCCAGGTTTTAGCTGAAATGACCATCAAAAGTGTTCAGATTGTACCCAGCTTATTTTTGGGCAATTTGCCTCCTTGAGCCTAAGTAGAGGACAATATTAAAATACATGAATGATCCCCACTGACACTGTGGTATAAATGGGGGTCTGCTTTTTTGTGACTCAAATAGTGAAGAAGAATTGTCCCTTGGGGGGTGGGGGAGAATCTCCCAATGACACTGAGGAAATGAACTTAACAGAAAATTTCAGTTGTGGTTTGTTACTGTTACCACAGCTTTGCACAAAATGTTGGTCTGTGGTCACATTTCCCCACACAAACTGAGAACATAATGATTGAAACTGCTGCATTGTACCAGTCCACCTCAGAGTCTGTCCTCACAGATTTTCTGTCCTCCCTGGACTGGCCCCTGGATCCCCTCCTTGGTTCCCCTGCTCCTCCACTCAGTTGCCACAGATACTGTCCTGGAAGCTGGGAAAGGCTCCTCCTCCCGTGTCCTGGTGTCTCACCAGCCCCTGAGACCTGCCTGCCTTCCAGCAGGTGCCCGTCTGCGTGTTCAGACTCCTGGCAGGGAGTAGGGGCAGGACAAGAGATGCTGGGCATGGGTAAGGGTGGCTAAACCACGGGATCTCTCCCCTCCAGCTGGTGGGTTCAGGGCACCTTCCCCCAACAATTCCGAGATCCAAAAGGGGTGTCTTTTGGCTATAAGTCAGAGATGACAAAAAGGGGGTGCCTTTCCTGTCATTCTCTTGCAGGTGGGTAATGAGCCCTCCACTGCCTGCTCATCCCTGGACTGTGTCCTCAGAGCTTCTGAATTCCTGCCTGGCCAGCTCATAAACTAGAGAACAAAGAAATCCTGGGGGAAGTTGG